GGAATTAAATTCGGAAAAATTAATTTCCGACCTCGCTGGGATACGAACCCAGCGAGGTCGGAAATTAATTTTTCCGAATTTAATTCCAAGGGCTTTCGCCCGGAATAACCTCGTTCCCAAGCACTACAACTTACCTATATTATCTTCTATATAGTTAGTAGTAATGTTCTCAAATATTTAAAATACGATATTTTAAAAATACGATAGGGATATCAGTGCTAGCTAAGGTAAAATTTAAACTATAATTGTCCTATGTTTATTCTGACAGCAATAAAACAAAGAAGACTTGGATTTACGTAATAGTGGTAATGGAAAAAAGAATAATAAAAACAACAATAACAACAACAACAAAAGGCTAGGGGTGTTCTTCAAGGTTCATCACTGGGACTGGACGTATATCGGAATGTTACCAATCTTAAATCAGGAAACACAAAATATAAACCGTGGTGCAGTAGTGGTGGGGAGTATTTTACAGCTATAACTTTTTTCTTAATTGAAGACCTAAAGATACATGACCATGAAAGTAATTCGTTGAGAATTCGAACTACAGAACAGAGAACCTATGAGAGAACCGGCAAAAACATTGTTTTTGTCTTTTTCTTCTTTGTCGTTTATTACTATTTTACGCATGTACGTTCGTATACTGACAAAAGGACAAACATGCAAACGTACGTACACAACCATAGAAATACAGTCACACTGTATAATGAGCAATAATTACATGGCTTTTCTCCGGGTTCCCCAGTATTCAGCAAAACCCATCAAGCTAAATCCCAAAGAATATTCGATCTGTGCATGCGTTAGTCGTGTCCTTACTTAGATCTGCCCAGAGTTTGTACCAGGGATAAGCCATTCTCTTACGCATATCAGTCCAGAGATTGTTTCATGGACTGTTAAAATTGATGCTTTTTTGAGACTGAATACAAATGTTGCTTTACGTCCCCAAAGTTCATTGATGCCCGAAATGCCAAAATGAACACATGGAACGACCGCGGGCGAAATATTAAACTATTCGTTTTAGGCACAAACCTTGAGTTGTCTCAGTAGACCGTGTTTGAAAGAATTGTGGACGAATTACTGAACACATAGGCGACCGAACATCTTATTCATGTATGTACTGCTTAAATAGACCTTATTTTGCATGACGTCCCAGTCGGCGACTAATAGGGCGAAGTCTGGCAGACAACTATAAAAAAATATGGTGTTGTCACTATTATCTATCTTGCGATTAAATTTCTTTGGGTCAAAATAGATATGAATGACCACATGGTCCTTGTAGATGCCTTTGATAACACGGCTATGTACATCAGGCCTTGAAAATATACTCGATGGACTCTCTTCAAATATTATTCATAAACAACCAATTAGTAGAGCGTTGGTCGACGTTCTGCGGTACACCAAACATTATTCTAAACTAAATAAATTTATCAGAAGAAATATGGTATTTCTCTAAATGAAACAAATAATCATATCCTAGTGCATTGGGCAAAGATTTGGTAGCGGATTATCGCACCACGAGGTTGATTTGGTTCAGTATTTATAACTGTAAACAATAAGCACGTTTTATGCTTCTTCCAATTAGGCTATTGGCAGGTTACCAAGAACCAATTCAGTTCTATGTCACATAGATAATCAGAGCATGCATTAGAGGTTATGGCTGTGGCTGATTGTGGCTGATAGTTTTGTCTTGTGGATTAACACAATTTGCCTGGCTTTCTGGTATTTTAGTCGCTTAACCGGTTTTATTGGATTTTATCAACCCCATCTTGGTTTGATTCAACAACAGAGCTTTGGGCAATAAAAAACGTAACTTTCCTAAAGGTGATTTGCAAACTAGAACTCTTTCCCAAGAGAAAGGAATACCAGAAAAGATGTTGGCCATGTTGGTCGACAAAGCAATAAAAGGGGTTCTTGATACAGTTGCGACATTTGCTCGAAAAAATCCAAGATGGTCGCTGCGAAAACCAGTATATGCTTTGTTTTAGAGCAAGTGTACTCTGTTACTCAAGTACATAATTGAAAGCGGCAATGAATTTGCGAATATTTTACCGACGAAAAAACACGAGTAGTGCAGCATAAAGAAACACAACTGATGAAGTTAACTGATGGGACTGACTACCGGAGTTTGTTTTATGGCGCATTCGGATCACACTACCCTGCGAGCAGAGTCTCCTTTTAACTCCTCTCGTCCGTAGAGGAGTTAAAAGGAGACTCTGCTCGCAGAGTAGGATCACACTTGGATAGATTTGTGAGGACTGTCCTTTGATTCGAGATTTTTTTTTTTCAATTGCCTACTCCAGTTTTACTCCCTTGCGCAAAACCTATCAACATACTGGCTAATTTAATTTCTAATTCCTACAGAGGTTTTTTCAGGGAACGGGTCATATTTCAAAATTGGATGTTTTTATTTATAATATTTGCATATACGTGCCAAAAAAAGTTCATTTCTACCTCTATTTGTTTATGAAAAAATATAACAAATACGAATTAAGAGACAACTTTAAAGGTTTTCCCCCTCAAACTTCAAATCCATTAAATCCTCTCAGTGCAAGTCAGAATGACTTAGAGATTGTATTCCCGATGACTTATCTTAGCGATCTCCACAGCCTAGCCTGCGTGCAGCCGAACTAACAGGCTACCACGGCCTTATCCCTAATCGAAATGTTTTCGCTAAAAATTCGAGACTTATTTTTGTTTGTTTTCACATAGGTATGAAATCAAAAAAAGAAAGCATATTTTTTATCTAAAGTACACCTTCAGGTTTAACTGAGACAAGCTTCATTAGAATCGTCGAAAAAAAGAGAAAGGTTATAAAACCCTAATGTAAACTCATAAACGAACGAATAGTTAAGAGTACGTGCCATACCAAAAAATCATAATATGGCATTAAATGGGACTCATTGTCTCAAAAACAAAATGCTGAAATCATTTTGGGGCTTACCTTGATATTTTTTTACTACCAATTGAAAGTTTCAGTTCACCTTTTCTTATACTGACAGAAAGAGTTTCCACGGTGTTGCTTACCAAAAAATATCTTCGACATCACCTAAAACGGTTTATAGAGAATATGTTACATCATAATACAAAACAAATCTTCTCTAATATGCACTTTGTAAGCCAGTTGCAAGGTTACTGGACCTAACTGACAAAAATCTAGCCCGCACCATTGATTTAAGACTTAAGTAAATAAAAACGCTATACTGTTACACACCCCAAAGTGAATGTCCTACTTTGCTATTAACTAAATACTTAGGAATTGTCTTTAAATGATACATTAAGGTTCAATCTAAAAGTATAAAATTGATTGTTAATTTTTAAAAATTGTATATTTTGTCTTGTGAATTCTGATTGCAACGAACTTGACCCTTTATTTACAAACTTTTTTTCCCCGATTTCGATATGATTATGATTAGGCGGTTTCCAATTTTGATAAACAAGATTTATCCACATCTAGCAGCTTTGTGATTATAATCAAAATAAAATAGCTTAATGAACAATCTAGAAGAGGTCGTTCCACAATACACAACCATATTTGCCATCTCGGTAAAGTTGAAAAGGCATTCGATCCACATACAAAACATGACAAGATCAACACTATACTTAAATGCAACGTAATCGCTATTTCAGAAAAAAAGTTTAAACACCCTATGTCAAAAAAAATAAAATAAAATAATAAAAAAAATAAACGGTGTCGGACGAAGATCGGAAATTTGAGACCGAAATGAAATGTAGATTAACGTGCTTATGTAGGTTGCCAGCCCGTTACAAATTTAAGATTTGTAGTTTGCAACAAGTTATATATAGATATGCCTACTTCGAGTGTTCACCTACGATAACGACTTGAATGATTACGTGTATCTTCATGTTTTAGTCCATACAATTACACTCGGTCTCAGTTTTCAGATCTCCGACCGACAATGTTTTTTTTTTTTCAAATAGGGGTATACACTCATAGTGAGGCGTGTCCTCAATATAGAGGTTTTCGTAAGATAGAGGTGTCCTTAATATAGAGGTGCCTGTAATATAGAGGTGTTCGTAATATAGAGGTGTCCGTATATAGAGGTGTGCGTAAGATAGAGGTGTCCGTAATATAGAGGTGACCGTAATATAGAGGTGTCCGTAATATAGAGGTGTCCGTGATATAGAGGTGTGCGTAATATAGAGGTGTGCGTAATATAGAGATGTCCGTAATATAGGTGTCCGCAATATAGAGGTGTCCGTATATAGAGGTGTGCGTAAGATAGAGGTGTCCGTAATATAGAAGTGTCCGCAATATATAGGTGTCTGTAATATAGAGGTGCACGTACTATAGAGGTGTCTGTAATATAGAGGTGTCTGTGATATAGAGGTGTCTGTAATATAGAGGTGTCTGTAATATAGAGGTGTCCGTAATATAGAGGTGTCTGTAATATAGAGGTGTCCGTAATATAGAGGTTTCTGTGATATAGAGGTGTCCGTAATATAGAGGTGTCCGTACTATTGAGGTGTCCGTAATATAGAGGTGTCTGTGATATAGAGGTGCCCGTAATATAGAGGTGCGACTAAAACAGAGGCGTCTGCAAAGAGAGGTTCCTCTGTATACATTTCAAGAGCGTCATTCAAATTACGAGAAAAAAATATCAATATATTTCTTAATTTTTTYCCCCGAACGAATTCCTCAAATCAGCGTCATCGTTTGGGATCTTGCCAGGGTTGCTAAGCACTCTAGATGAATCGAAAACCATTTTGTATTTTCATTTGCAATTAGGGATATCAGTTTACTCAAACACGACGTCTTGAACCAGTTTGCAGTAGGCAAAAGTGGATAAAGAAAGATTGAATAAATAAATAAAAATTTAGAGGAAAACTGAACGTGGCAGTTGGTTATCATAGAAACAACCCTTGGTCTAATACCATCTAAGGCAAAAGAATGAACAATAAATTTATTCCCAATACTGGATACAAGTAATTAGTGCAAAATGGTAACTGCAGACACTTACAGATGGAACGACCAAACTGTCTTTAAATGCTCTTTATATTATAACGCTAGCGTGATATTTTGCCGAAATATTTGTATTGTAAGAGTAAAGGTTATCAATTTTGTCTTATCGATACAAATAAACAACCATTTATCCGCATTGTAGTGCGAAAAACGTAAAAATATGTTAACCCTATCGAGGATATCTCGTAAGTTCGAATCCCGGGGGGGGGGGGGGTACTCCCATATATGGAATATACGGGGATGATCCGCTGAACAGGGTATGGTTTTTC